TTCAAAAAAATGCATTCAAATAAGAGGTTGGGAAGGTAATATAATGTCTATCTGGAATTGCAGGAGAGATCTGAAGTTGGAGGATTTCAGTACTGGGGTATGTTATTTTTACTGCACATTTTCATGTCAAACATTGTACCTTAAATGCCAAGTATGTTGGTTCTCACCTCACAGGTTATTCTGGTTGGAAATAGTACAAGCTTTCTCAAAGGAGGGCTGGCAGCTTAATTGAAAAAGAGAGTTTAGCCTGGCCAGTGTGGTTCAGTGGTTGAGCATCAACTTATGACCAATGAGGTCACGGTTCAATTCCCGGTCAGGGCACATGCCCAGGTTTTGGGCTCAGTCCCCAGTGTGGGGGGTGTAGAAGGCAGCCGATCAGTGATTCTTTTTCATCATTGATGTTTCTATCTCTCTGCCCTTCTCCCTTCCTCTCTGAAGTCAATAAAATATATATATATATATATATATATATATATATATATATATATATATTAAAATGGAGAATTTATATAAAGAAAGATGCTCATGATAGAGAAAAGAAAATGGATTACATAAAATATATAATTTAAAAATACTTTATGTAGGAGGTATAAATGAATTTGTGTCTCAGATTTATTTAGGCTTAATGGTTGGAAGTCATGAGGAATTCTATGTGCAGTTAGTATAAGGCAGCCTTTTACAAGGGCCTGTATGGTCAATGGTGGCTCGCCTGTGCAGGAGTGAAGCCCCATCCAGTGGAAATCCTGTGTCAGGAAAATGAGACCCGGATCCTGGACCACAGCCTAAGTACATGGCATCTCCGGTTCTGCCACGATGTTCTAAAACCTCTCCCTACATGCTGATTCTATGCAAACATGGGGACACTGAGGCAGGAGGGAGTCCAGAGTCACCACCTGAGCATGGCATCTTCAGCTGTGAGTTACTTCAGGGGCCTACACTTCCAACAGCATAAGCTTGCCTGGTGTTTTATGGGCCATTTAAATACTGTCACTGGACTGAAGGGGTCCATTTACCGCAGTGCATCAACCCCCAATGAGACCCGAACAGCAGCTGTGGCTGGTTTGATGTCTCTCTCCCTCACCTCCCTCCCTTCTGAAATCTCTAGAAATCAAAGAAAAAGATTGCCATTATTTATTTTGATTTAGAGTGAGGAGTTGAGATTCATTTTTTTCCCATGAAAAAATTATATTTTATTTTCTCACTTTAAAATTTTAGCCATTTTATTGCATATGAAATTGTTTCCAATTGTGGTTTTAAACTGGATTTAATGATTAAAGATTGTTAACACTTTTTATTGTGCTTATTGATCACACACACACACACACACACACACACACACACACAATCACCAAAAAACTAAGACAGAGCTAATGCTTAAACATAAAAGCCAGAGCCATAAGTCTTCTAGAAGAAAACAGAATATTGTAATGACTTTGCTGTCAGGGGTGGCATGCGGCAGGGGGACAGCTGGGACTACTGTTTATTGCTGTCTCAGTGTAGAACGCACCGCCAGCATGGGGCTCTGTGCCGGTCTCCTCCAGACAGACACACACGCACCTCAGGACCAAGCGTTTGCCACCAAAGTAAAAAGGAAACGGATCCACAAGTAATTTTACAAGAATTTTGTAGCAGCCTAAGTCTTAATAATAAAAATTAAAAAACACAAATATTCATCAATAGGAACATGAATCAGCAACGTGTGTTGTTGAGTCAATGGAATACTACCAGCTACAAAAAGCGACAAACTGTTACACAGAACTCCAGGAAGAACCTTGCAAAGTGAATAAAACTAGAAACTAAAAAGACATGCACAGGGTTGTATAATTTCACTTAGTAGAATGCTAGATTAAAAAAAGTTACAGTGCTAAAAGTCAGGACATGATAGTTTCTGGGAAGGGGTGTGACGGAAAGGCTGTGAGGGAACTTTCTGGGGAATAATTTCTTATGTGTTTTTACTGATTTCAGAAAGAGGGAGGGAGAAACATCAACCACTGAGCCACACCAGCCAGGCTCCAGGGTGACAATTTTTATCATCTTTTGGGTGATGGCTACAGATGCATTCAATTGTCAAAGATCATGAGACAGAAATGTAAAAGAAGTACCTTTATTGTATGTAATTTTATTCAAATTAAAAATAATTTTATTCAAATTAAAAATAATGTTGGCTGAAATATCACTTAAAAAGGGATTAGTTGCCTTGCTGGAGTGGCTCAGTGGTCGAACATTGACCTATGAGCCAGGAGGTCTGAGTCAAGAGCACGTGCCCGGGTTGCAGGCTTCATCCCCAGTGTAGGGCATGCAGGAGGCAGCGGATCCATGATTCCCTCTCATCATGGATGTTTCTCTCTGTCTCTCCCTATTCCTTTCTCTCTGAAAGCAATAGATATATATAAAAAAATAAAGGGTTAGTTAGGGTGGAGCCTGTCAAAGTCAGGGTCCCTTGGAACAACTGTGAAGGTGGCCCCGAACCTCCTCCACTCCAAAGAAGAAGGAATGAAAGCAGAAAGGAAGGAAGGAAGGGAGGAGGGAAGGAAGGAGGGAAAGAAGGCAGGCAGGAGGGAAGGCAGGCAGGAAATGACTAGATTTCGTCCCTCTTTCTCTTGGTCGGCACACAGTGAGGAGCTCTTTCTGTCCCCTGGACCCTGGCACCCAGGGCAGTAGAAGCAAGTCCAGTGCCTCTCAGCTCCAGGGGAGGAAAGCAATCTGAGGTGCCAGGCTCCCGAAGCCCGCACGGAGAGGCTGGTTTCTGCGAAGGGTGATAATGATGAGGGAGGAAGCAACTTGATGATTTCGAACAAAAGAGATTAAGACATTCTTGTGAAGGTGCAGATAAATTACCTCTGCATGTTACTATCTTTTATTCTGTTCTTTTATGTAGAAACTAGAGGCCAGATGCACAAAATTTGTGCAAGGGTAGGCCTTCACAGCCCCAGTTGCCTTGACCCTCAGGGCCCCGGCCCTGCACCCTCCCCTTATCTGCCCCCCCCCCCCCCACTTCCACTGGTCATTTTGGAAGCTCATTCTGCCACCCAGTCTAATTAGCATATTATATAGGATTAAAGGCCTGGTGCACAGATTCGTGCTCCAGTGGGGTCCCTTGGCCTGGCCTGTGCCCTCTCACAATCCATGACCCCTTGGGGTTTTTGGTGGCCCAGTGCACGGATTTGGCCTGATCCCCACAGGCCAGGCTGAGGGACCCCACCTGGGCATGGATCCATGCACTGGGCCTCTAGTATGCATATAAGATCTTTGCTTGGTCTCTTCCTTCCCTCCACCCTCTTCCCTCTGAGATTCATCAGTCTGTTCCATGTTCCCATGCCTGTGCATTGAGCGTCTGCTGCCTGGTGGTCAGTGAGTGTCATAGCTACCAGCTGAACAGTCAAATGGTCACTTAGGCTTTTAAATATATATATAGATAGCTTGAAAAGAATAAAATTGGTTAAGGTTTAACAAAATCGAATGGATCATTACAATTACTTTCAAAAGGGAAAGTAGTTTTCGCTACAGCATGCAGACTGGAATACTGCACACGCTGCTTTTGTAATCCCAAATGAAGCCACTGGAAAAGACTCCTGGTCAGCATTCCCACACAGGGGAGGGCTCCACTTCTCTCCTGCATATGCCAGTGTGTCCCCTGGACATGGGCCAACGTCCAACATCTGCTTTCTGCTTCTGTTGAAAGCTGTTTCATTCAGAGTGCCAGACAGCGGGCCAGTGGCTGGGACTCAGCGTGAGGCTGGAGGGCTCTCCGTGATCGAGGGCAAAGCCAGGGAAGCTGTGGCCCTGGTTCCTCCTGGGACTGCGGCGCACGGGGAGGCGTGGTTTCCAAGGCATGGTTCGCCAAATCCACCTACAAAAACACAAGCGATGTTCTACAGCATTCACCCCCCAGGAGGCCTGTCAATTGGTATTTCTGAATCTGAATTAAAATCATAAGCAATGGACAAGGTGAAAACTCCGAGTGCGGCTGAATTACCACTGTCCTGGGGCTGCCCAGTGCAGTGCACGCTCATAGGTGCTCCGTAAAAATGAAAAATCCCATGACATGACTTACTCTCTATTAATTTGTTTATTTGATTATTTTTTTAAACTATAACAACTTATTGTTCATCATATAGAACAACCAGAAACTTACTACTTGATGTCAAAGACCACACTGAAGAAGAAAATGAGTTGCTGTACATAATATGACTTGATCATCCTCATTCTATGTCATAATGTATGAAATCAGATTCACTATCATTTGATTGTTTGGGGCATACATGGTTGGAAGGTCCTATTATGTGTTTCAATAGGAATAGTTGGAATACTAAGTGGTGCAGTCTTTTCTGCATCTGTTTTTCCATTCATGTGTTTAATCATGTTCTAATTGTGAAAACATCCTTTGACCCGGGCAACTAAAAGCGCTCTGGGGACAATTAGTAAGGTAGTTGTTGGTTTTAATTTTTTATATGTATAAACATTTATTTAACATGTAGGTGGATCTGTGTTCACTCATTTTGTTCACAATTTGGATTCGAATACAGTAATGACAAACAGACGACAGACGCAGGGAACAAGGGGATGGACAGTCTGATGGCACAGTGCCAGAGAAAGCATGCTGGCCCCGTCCCCACTGACCCCGAGAGCAGGCTAATTCCGCCTCCTGTCTCCTCACTGCTTTCTATTTTACAAGATGGACGGACACCTGGGAAGACTGTGTGTTGATATGAGTGTACTACATCATTTACATATCTGATCATTCTTCTTAAAAGCTGCCCTGGACTGTGCTTCCAGACCTGCTTGCCTGGGAGGCCCGAGATGCCTGCCTGTGTGCGGTGCTGAGCAGAGGGAACATCTCCCACTGCGAGCCCTCAGCTCTGGGCCTCTCTCCCCGCCCTGGGGCCACTTCCAGGCTTGCTGACTGTCGATGCTGTGTGATTTAATTCACAGCACACGATACTACGTAGCTGAATACACGTTAGTTCATTGAATCAATCTAACCTTACACTTTCTTGCAGGAAGATATCAGATACAAGTATTTGCAAAAAGAACTACAAAAGGAATGGAGAACCTTCAAGGTATGTTACCATATATTACACGAAAATGTGCGGGACGATAAACCATGCTTCCCCTGTGGTGGACAGTTAACTAAACTAGTGGTAGTCTTTTCAGAGCATGACTATCAAGGGAAACAAATTCCAATCAATGATGCTAAAGAAAACATTCCTACTGAAAAATACATCCATTAGTTCCTCACAGCTGAGCGCTGGCTCACAGAAGACATGAGAAATTAATCTGTAATGACTCCATGTTTTCCCTCTGAAGTGAGAGGGGAGCACATGCATGAAGCAGGCACCATGTGCTCAGCAATGTATACATGTCACGCCCTTTGCCCGTGACCTGTGACGATCACTCCCCTTATGTGATGGAAGCGGAAGGTGAGGACTGGACAGATGGAGCCATTTGTTCGGGTCACACAGTGGATAGAGTTCCTGTTTCCAGGGAGTTACCTGCCTGTGTGGAGCTCTGCCAGGCTTTCGGATGGGTGGGGGTATGAACCTCACCATCTTTCTCCTGAGCTGTGTGAGTCCCCCATGATGTGTGACTCTCCTGTGATGTGTGACTCTCCTGTGATGATGTGTGACTCTCCCGTGATGTGTGAGTCGGAGGACGTTGGGGCGAAGACCGCGCACTGCCGTGGGCTCTCCAGCTCGGGGTGGAGTGGAAACTCCCTGACTGCAGGCATCCTCACGGCCCCCCCCACCTCCTCCGGGACCACTTGAGCTCCTCCAAGATGCCAGGGCGGGACCCTGTGGCCACCTCCTCACATGTGTCTGTGCGTGTGCTCAGAAACAAAGGGCAGCGGGAGAGGAGGCGAGGCTGAGATGCCATCTCCGGGATCAGGAGGGAAACCCCAGCGTGATGACCCAGACAACCTTCAGGCGGCACCTCGGTTGTCTAGCCACAGCTAGAAACCGCATCTAGCCACAGCTCCGGTGGGAAGTGGAGTGGCAGGATATTTAATTTAGAGCGAGCTCGCCCCAATGCCTCTCACACACCAGACAGGGGATGGTTCTCCCAGGAGCTCCTGAAGGGCTGGACTGAGCCCCAGGGGCCAGGGAGTGGGTGGGGATGCAGGGGAGCCCCGAATGCGCACCTCTGTTCAGGAGAGAGCAGCAAACTGGTGGATTCCCCTCCCATGGCCTGGAGGCGCCCTTGCAGAAGCTTCTGCTCTCCTGGGCGCCCCCAGCCCACCTCGTGGCCTCGGCTCAGCTCCCACCAGGGCTCTGCTTTGCTCCAGATGTTATGCTTACTCAGCACCTTAGATTAAGTCTGTTGTTGAAACACGTAGCATTTTTCCTTTTAAATTCTAGCTCTTTCTAAAATAAAATGTGACCATCTCTTTAATCCTAGACACAAACATTTAAAAGTAAATAATATTTTCATACTTTCCAATTTCCCTTAAAGGAAACCAAATCTGGTTTTAGAATTTTGCATGTGACTTTAGGAGAGTCTTGTCACGGCCAAGATCGCCCTCCGGAACCTCTAACAGTCTTCTCTCATCTGAAACACCTTCGCCTGAATCACCGCTATTGCATGTTTCACGACTAGACTGCCATCCCACGCGGAGAGAGAAGGACAGGCACAGGCCTGTCCTGCGCAGGGACTCAGCGATGACGAAGGAAGAAGGCAGGGAGGGGGACATACGCCAGGAGGTGTTTTCTCTGATGGCGTGGCCCAGCGGGGAGGCGCCATGACTTTGCTGATGCCACCCCGATTTTAGGGGGATCCCTGGAAACTGGGCCTCGAGGGCCTTCACTCAAGCTCTTGTTTCTGTAATTATTTCCCGTGCTTAGACACCGACTCAGGAGTGATAGGTGGCTCCTGGCTGGTTGAATGAAGACTCAGGTTTGTTGGTGTTCCTGCGGGAGTACCCATGAAGTCACACCTGGAGCTCCTCGCTCGCGTCCAGGCCTAACACCTGGGCTGCCCGCCGCCTGTGCAGCACCGGCCGCAGGAGCTCCTGTGGGGGAGCCCGGTGCCTGGTGTCCCGCTGGCCTGCAGGAACCTGTTCCGGCGCCAGCGTCGCTGTGAGCCCTCTTCCCGTGTGGCTCCACCGGGAAGACGGGTGCCCGGGCACATTGCATGTTTGTAAACACACGCAGGTAGCGACAGGAGAGAGCATGAGCTTCCTGCCTGCTCTCCAGGGGCAGCCTGAGGTGACAGGTGCTCTGAGCACCTCCTTCAGAAAACGATTCCTACAGCCTGGAGCTGGGATTCACTGGAGAACGGCGGAGCATCCCAGAGCCACACACGTGTGCAGCCAGTGGGGAGGAGCTGCTCTTCCTCCCACAGAAGCAGCTTCACATGTAGCATCTGCCAGTTCTCATGGGGAGAACATCCCCGTCATAGCCAAGTTCAAGGTCAAGCTCCCGCTGCAATGCCATTGTGCGAGCCCTCGGGAGAGAGGCACACAGTGGGCGCACATGTGAGTGTTTCCTGTCAGGGAGGCACACACCTCACACCTGACCTCACTCCCGCATGGGGGGCCTGGCACTCAGGGCGCGGGGTGCACTGTGAGGAAGGCTGCCACACAGGCCTGGGGAGAGGCCGGCCCAGCAGACGGGCTCACACTCAGCACTGGGATGGAAGACGGAGGAAAAAGTAGAAATCTGGGGGAAAACGGTCACTTCCCGACGTTGCTGATGATCACCAGAGCCAGTTCCGGACTCCGCATGTCTGCTTTCCGGCTCCCTGAGGCTCACTAATCTGTAGGACACGTTGGTGCCTGTGCTGGCTTATTGTTCACTGCCACAGCCATGTCCCTGGCCCCTGCCCCTGACCTCCCTGCCATTCCTGCTCCCGCCATACCCGCTGGGGTCTGAGCTTTTGTGTGCGACTCACCCTCACTCCCCAGAGTGCCTTCCTGGGCGTCATGCTTCCACATAGATCCCCCATGGGTGACCCTGAGTCTCCCCCTTCCTCTGAGGTCCTCACATCCCAGTCTCCCGCCCGGAGGGTGTGGTGCTGCCGTGCTGGTGGCGCCCGGGGCAGGCAGACCATCAGGGCTCGGTGGTCCCGAACTGTCATGAAATGCTTTGTTCGCGTGTCTCCCTCTCGTCTAAAGTGGACTTTAAGGTTCTTGCAAACAGAGTAGCATTAAGCACAGGTCAAATAGTGTTAAATTGAATGTTGAACTGGAAAAACATGCTCTATAAATCCAGTTACAATTTCTCCCCACATCCTTGTTTTTGAAAAGTCAGAAAACTTAGCTCCATTGAGAAATAATTAATAGATATGAATTTTTGAAGATTTTTTAAAATTAGAAATTTTGTAGAAATCATATCTTCTATATATTTTGCTTAGGTGAAAAATTCTGTCTTTACAAGTTTTAAGACATGTTTCTTTTTTTTATTTTTATTGTTTTCTATGGAATTCCTGCCATTTGTGAAATTATAAGTGTTAAAGTTTAGGGAGTGACAGGATTAATGATCTTTAATGCCCTGTTTTTCCAGGATAAGACAGTGAGAGACGCCCTGCGTTACAATGGGATTGTTCCCGGCTTCGGCAGATGGAACCACCACTGTGAGACCATCCCCAAGAACCTCAAGGACACCCTGGTCACTTATTAAAGACGCCGGCTCCAAAGCTGGGTTTCCGCAGGGACCCATTTCTGCTTAGTTTGTCATTAGGATTCACGATGATGGTCTCTATTCAGTCCTGCAGACATGCTTCCTCCGGACTCACTCACATAAACACCTTCCTCCTCGACAGCAGAATTATTCAGTTCACTTTTTTATTAGGGTCTTGAGTCATAAAAAAGAGGTAGAAATATCTTCCATAACAAATTTTATGGGCCAAACATTTAAAATAAGTTTTGTGACATCTGAATCCCCATAAGCTTCTAAGTGAAGTATATCTAAATTAAATGACATGCTTTGGCTCATTAGATCAAGTGTAAAGTTGAAAGCAGAATAGGAAGCTTATTGTTGCCTTTCAAACCTATAAAACAATACAGGTTTTCACCATCTGAACTTGTTTGCAGAGCACAGCTCGTTTCCTGAGTGCTCTGCAGTGCCTGTGAGATCTTAGTCAGCTGGGGCTGCTGTCACACGTGTTGCACGCGAGTGAGGGGGGCTTGTCTACAGCAGAATGTTTCCTTGGGGGCCGAGAACCAGACCCCGGGGTGTCATGTTCTGGTGAGGGTGCGCTTCCTGCACCTTCTCCTGCAAGCTCACCTGCCGGAAGGCTCCAGGCCACTCTGTGGGCTCCTTACGAAGAGGAGCTCCGATCCCATTCCTGGGGGCGCCGCTCTCAGGGCCTGAGCATCTACAACGACCCCCCTCCCAACACCAGCACGATGGGCATGGGGAGTGGGGGCACAGACACTCAAAACATTGTGTCTGCAAATAGAATTTCTACCCAAATTTTTAGAAAAAATATTTCATGAAGTCAGACTTGCACAGGACTCGAAACTAGCCTAGCTCTTCCATCAATATCAGAGTGGCCCACAGGCAATCATGTGATACCCTGTCACTGCCTAATCATGTGATAGTCAAGCTTACTGTTGCTGATAATTTATGCTTTAGAGTAATAATTGATCTGTAATGGATCTGAAAATTCTAATTTAAGTGAAAATGATGATAGTGATTAAACTGTCTGCTCAAAATATCAGTCGAAGCTGCAAAGCTGTTTGCTTGTCTTTCCCTAGGCAGAGGCAGGGGACTGGGGAAAGGCAGAGTGGGTTTTGAAAGTGACTTCCACACTGCACTTAGAACATCATTGTGATGATTTAGGTGTCTTCAAAAACAAAAAAGTTCATATTGAAGAATTATGGAAAATTATATATGTCATTTGTATATATGCATACATGTATGCTAATTATAATAATTTTAAGACATGTAATGAAATATCAGATTTTGGAGTACCATATGTGTTGCATGATTGAGCAATTGGAATCCTAAATTACATCAAAGCAATCTCTGGGTTTGTTTGTTTGTTTGTTTGTTTGTTTTTGATAAGTGGAGAAAGAAATTAAATAAATTTCCAGTAGGATCTAAAAGTTGAAAGCATCTATTTTCTTTGAGTTTTTTCAATCTAAAAGTTTTCTTTAGTTGAACACATGATTATAGAGTGACAATACTTTTGTGGCTCACCCTTCTCTTTTTAAAGACTTCAAAGTATTCAACAAAACTTCCATATGGATAACAGCATTATTATTATTACTAAAGGCCCGGTGCACAAAATTTGTGCATGGGGGTGAGGGAGTGTGTTGCTTAGCCCAGCCTGCACCCTCACCTCTACAGGGATGTCCAACTGCCTGTTTAGGCCCGATCCTACTGAGATTGGACATCCCACTCACAATCCAGGATTGCTGGCTCCCAACTGCTCACCTGCCTGTTTGCCTGATTGTCCCTAATCACTTCTGCCTGCTAACCTATCACCCCCTAACCACTCCCCAGTCAGCCTGATTGATGTCTAACTGCTCCCCTGCCAGCTTGATTGCTTCTAACTGCCCTTCCCTGCAGGTCCTGTCTCCCCCAACTTCCCTCCTCTGCTAGCCTGGTCACCCCTAACTGCCCTTTCCTCCAGGTTTGATCACTCACAACTGCCCTCTTTTATAGGCCTGACTCCTCCCACTTGCACTCCCCTGCTGGCCATCTTGTGACGGCCATCTTGTATTCACATGTGGGCAACCATTTTTAACCACATGGGGGCAGCCATCTTGTGTGTTAGAGTGACAGTCAGTTTGCATATTACAGTTTGCATATTGTATTTTATTAGATAGGATAGAGGTCTGGTACACGAATGGGATCCGGCTGGTTTGCCCTGAAGGGTGTCCCAGATCAAAGTGGGGGTTACCTTGGGGCATGGGGACAGCCTGTGTGAGGGGCCTGTGGTGGTTTGCAGGCCAACCATGCCCCCCGGCAATCCAAGCTGAGGCCCTGGTATCTGGGATTTATTTATCTTCTATAATTAAAACTTTGTAGCCTTGAGCAAAGTCCAGGGCTAACCAGGAAGCTTAGCTTCCTCCATTGCCAGGGGTAACCCAAGCCTCCTGCTTGCTTCAGCTCCATGGCCACCACAATTTTTGTTGGATTAATTTGCATACTCACTCCTGATTGGCTTGTGGGCATAGCGGAGGTATGTTCAATTTGCATGTTTCTCTTTTGTTAGTGTAGATTATTATTATTACTTATTAATCCTCACCTAAGGATATTTTTCCATTGTTTTTTTAGAGAGAGTGGAAGAGAGGAGAGGGGAGAGAGAAAGGAAAGAAACATTGATAAGAGAGAAAGAGACATTAATTTGTTGCTTCCTGCACAGACCCAGACTAGGGCTAGGGATTGAGCCTATAACCCAGGTATGAGCCCTTGACTAGGCATCAAACCCTTGACCCTTTGTTGCATGGGCCACTGAGTGACACCGGCCTAGGCTGGATAACAGCCTTAATTTCAAACATTAAGTTATGAACTGAGTCATTACATTACTTAGTTTCACATTGTTCAATATGCATAAAAGTGTATCTAAGATTATACAATAATTGAATGTTAGGGTGGTCTTCTGGCCACATACCTTTTGGTTTGCTTTGCATATTAATCACAATATTTTTTGTAGGAAGTACATAGTTTTGGTTAATTTGATGAATTTATCAAATAGTTATCAGTTGAGAAAGCTGTACAGTAATAATCATAGTTAACCTAAGCAAGAACTTTGAGCCTTCAAATGGGTCAAATCAATTCTCTCAAAACCCATATGAAGTAGGTTCTGTTATTTATTATTCCCTACTCTACAGGAAAGGAACTGGACACACTTGGAGGTCAGAATTTTAGTCAATGTTAATAGATGTGCTTTTGAGTTTGTCTCTGATGAGAAGCATGAGGAAAAGCCCACGTCATACTAAACCAGCCACAGATGCTCACCTGCCACTTCCCCGTGCCCCTCAGGGAAGAGGAAGCTTCCGTTGGACAGGTGACCTTCCCTGTTGCCGTAGAGAAGCCAGTGTTGGGCAGGTGGCTGCTGGGGGAGTCCCTGACCTCCCAGCCACCCTCAGCATTGGGACTAGAGTTTGATCTAAAAATACCATTAACAATAAATGCTTTCCCTACCACTCGCTGCCTTTCTGTTTTAATTTCTCTCACATCATGCTGCTTAATAACTTCCCTGTGTGGGCAAGGCAGTCTGGCACAGTTCCTCCAAACCTCCCATGCCTAGAAAATCATAAAACTATGTCACGTCAGGTTCAAATTGCTGTCTGACGGTATTTTCAAGCTCTTATCTTTCACATGAAATAAAATACAACAGCTGATGCCTGTTCCCATACATGGAGAACACTGACAGTGTAAGTCGTTGAATTAGCACGGAATTCTAGAATTATCAGGTGACAGGGCTGTAAGGTTCTTGGGAAGCCTCCTACCTCAGTGCCTGTCTCAGGCAGGTGAGCCTCAGCAGCACTGTGAAATCACACTCCAGTCTCTTTCTGAATGTCTTCAAGGGAAACTCCAGACCCCAATGGAGCACCTCATTTGAATGACCTTTGGTTAAAAAAGAAAACACACACACACACACACACACACACACACACACACACACACACAAAACGCTTTACCTATTAAATGACTATTCTTTTTTCTCTCTCTAGACTAAAGTAACAGAAGTCTTCCCACATTTCTTCCTAGTGATAAGAGTTAACTAGCTAGCTTATTAGATAGACAGGTGCGGAGTGCAGGGGAGGGGGGTGTAGGGAGGTGAACAGGGAGGATGGAGACATTGCTGGCCTGAGGAATTAAAGCAGTCATAAACCAAGGGCAGAGGTACCTCTGGCCTGAGCAATCACAGCAAACATAAGGCAGATCAAACACAGCCTTGACCTGAACAGCGGAGAGAGCCACAAGGGTAATAAAACATCTCTGGCCAGGACAGCTGGGAGAGCCATAGGGAGGTCAAAAGCAACTGCAACCTGAACAGGGAAGATGGATATATGAAGGGCAGAACTAGCTCCAAGACGCCAGAACGCTTTCACAGAGGACAAAGCAATGCCACAGGAAAGGGAAGAGGAAGGCAGACATTCACGGAGCACAGAGGCATGTTGCAAGATAAGGGGAGAGAAAGTGGCACCACGTGGGCCTTAGACTCTGAGACTATGTAGCAGAGTGACAGTGAGGAAGCACAGGGGTCCTGCATTGAGAAGGGTCCAATTAGAAAGGGTCCCAGGTTCAGACAAAGAACTACAGCACAGATAGACCGAGACAAAGGGACAGGAGACAGATTTTTGATTTTTTTTCCCATGGAAGGAGAGCAAGCTTTTTCCATTTGGGGGCCCCAGAGGGAGTTGTATATGTTCCCAATGAACTTCTACATTTTTATTCAAGAAGCCATTAGTCTACAAATATTATTCTTCAACTTTGTTGGACAAGGACCCGCGAGAAGAATCTGCGCCCCAGAAGCCCAGTTTCACTGGGACCTCATTATCTTCTCTGACCATTTTCACTTGTCATCGTCTCCGTCTCCTTTTTGAAGGGAATCACCAAAATTGAACATTTTACTGGTCAATTCTTGTGTGATGCCACACAATAATGCTGATGATTTGGAATGAAACATTTGACTTTTGCTATTTTTCATGTTTTCCTCC